TCGTCGCGCTTGGCACAACAGCTCGGTTGGGACTGGGCAGCTGCGTTGGACTTCTCGGCATCGCAGCACGCCTGGCCGTAGCGGGTGCCCGGGGGTGTCCTGCCCTGCTGCCCCCCAAAAAAGGTCTTTTTTAGGGACTTTTGTGTCACCTCTCTGCAGGCGGCAGGGGGGGCAGGGGGATAAAGGAGGGGGCTGGCCTGGAGGTCCAGCCATGCTGCTCTCTTTGCCTCGGGAGCGCTCTGCGATGTGGCGTTAGAGCGGTTTTCGTGTCGCAGGCCAGGGCTGTGCGGCGTGACGAGCCCTGGAGAGAAAGGCTGCGGCTGTGAGTGGCGGTGCGTGCCGGCAGCCCCCCCCGCCCCGTGGGGCTGCGTGTGGTGGGGCAGGGTGGGAGGAAAGCCCCGCGGGGACTCGGTGTTCGCCTTCAGGAAGGGGTTCTGGAGGCTCCTCTCAAGGAGGAGCTGCTGATGCTTGGGGGGGTCCTCGGGTCCCCTTCTCCGAGCTGAGATGCTCTGATGGGCTGCAGTGCTGTGATTCACTGCCCAGGCCCGGAAATCCTCTGCCTGTAGCAGGGAAGAGCTGTGCAGGAGGCGCTGAAGTGTACTGCCGGCGTACTCGGGGGAACAGCGTTTAGATGGTGAATCCGAGCGGCGTCTGCATCGAAGCGCTTTCCGTGCTGGCTTTATGGCAGCCTGCGTGTCCCCTGCCTTCGGCGGTGCTGTCTGGAGGGGCTGCAGGCACATGGCCACCCCGCACCCTCGCTGCCGGGGCGCGCAAACCTCACGTGGCATCTCTCCGGCCAGCGTGGATGGTGCGTGGCTCTTGGTAAGCACCTGCGTTCCCAGGGGTGAGGTGGTTGCCCTGGCTTCAGAGCCAGGCTGGGAGTGGAACTGGTTGTCTCTTGCCTCTTCCAACCATGGGGCAGTGCGCTCTGGAGCACAGGGAAGGTGTAAGACACAGTAAAATGGTTTGCTCCCCTCCTGCTATGGGACTTGCTGGTACGAGGGTAGCGCAGGGGGTGCGGATGGGTCATGCCAAACAAGAGCCAGGCGCCATGGTCAGCCCTAGGTGATGCCTTCCCTTGGGAAGTGCTTGTTGGTCCTGCTGGGTCCATGGGAGTCAGCAAATGCTCTCTGCACCTGAAGATCCTCGGAATGCCTTTGGGGATACAGGTATACAACGCATCCACGGTGAGCGTGTTGTATCTTACTACCTAGCAATATTTTGCAGTGCCCCTTCTCAAGCTCAGTTTTCCACCTGGTGGGTTTAACACAGAGAGCAAAGGTACAGGAATATCGTTCTGATCCTTAACATGTAACGATTATTTGGGGTATTCTCTGGCCTTTTCTCATTTCCATGCGCCACAGCAAGCTCTTAAAAACAGATTGCCAAAAATACCAGCGTGAAACCGTTCCAGTCTTCTGCTCTGAGTGGAAGGTGCTGCAGGGAGCAGGAAGGACCAGACTATGGGAGAGAAGTTCATGGTTACCCCAGCCCCAACCTCTCCCTTGGACCTGCTGAGTCGGGGCAGACATGACACCCTTATTTCCGCAATTCTGGTTTTGTTGCCCGAAGTTGTGGAGCTCCAGACAGTTTGAAGTTGAAGTGGGAGTTGGTGGTCGGGTCGCAGCAGAAATGTCCTGGTGCCTTGGACATCCCTTCTGCTTCCAGGTGGGGTATAATTCATCTCTAGGCAAACTCATGGGCTAGGAAGACGGCAGCTCGCACTTTCGAGGGACTGCGGATAAGCTGTGTGCTGCCTGGGGACCTGGCGTGGTCTGGCCACGTCTTAACGTTGCTTCAGCAAACCAAGCCCAGGATGAACCACATTAGAGGTAGGCTTGGTACTGCAGGAGCATGTGGTTTAGAAGTCCTTACACCCCGACCAGCCTGTGTGTTTCTCAATGGCCTTCCAGCTTGTGAATTCCAGCTGCCGTATGGAGTACAGCATGGACCCAGTTACAAAAGGGACTCCCTAGCGTGGCTGCCAGTGGCACTGTGCTCGCACCCAGGAGGACCCTTCCAGCCCTGCACGTGCCTGTGCTGTGCCGATCTTCCAGATGCTCTTTTAGAGCCAGGCTTTGCTACCTCGCACTTGCTCAGCCTGCTGCCGAACTTCTCGGTGCTTCCTAATGCCCTGGGCAAATCCGCTCCCCCTTCAGCTCCGGCGGAACCGGGACTCTGTGGAGCCAAACTGCTGCTCCTGGATGCTGCCTGCTGCCCAGGCGGCGTGCGGGCAGGCTGTTAGCCCTGCTCTGGCAGCCGGGAAAGCCCTCGCTTTTGCAGCTGGAGGCATGGCTGGGCTTTTCCTCTTTCCATAGGTACTGCTGATAAATGGAGGAATGTTAAATGTCTGGGGCTGGGAGGGTGGAGGTGAAGGATGCGGCTCTGTGGCAAAAGCCTGCGTGCTGCTAACCTGGAGAAACCCCGTCTGGAAGCGGCCAGAAGAGCCAGCTGGGCTCTGCTCTTAACGGGCTTCTAATAAGCTTAAAGAGGGAGTCGTGCAAACTGTCCCGCATACGCTGCGTCCTTTCAATGTTAAATCCACTGGCAGCTTCAGGGCACGCTGGGGTGGTCCAGCCTGACGGACCTGGGATGCTGCTCCGGAATATCGGGGTTTTTTTCTGCTGGGCTGGTGCTGGCGCTGCTCCAGCTGGATGAGGGGTAAGGCGAGCGAACCGTTTCCTTTGCAATTAGCAAGATTTGTTACTTGGCTCACACAGCCGCAGTTACAAAAAGAGGAAAAACCTTACTAGGTGATTAGCAAAGGAGCGGGGGCAGAGCTCGATTCAAATTGCAATTAATTACCGAAGCAGCCAGAGGATCAGAGGAGTCTGTGCAGTTATTGGGATGTCAGGGTCTGCGAACGCCGTGTCCAGCCTCGTGGAACCAGCTGAGGAGCTGGGACCTGTCATCCCCGGGGACTGTCCCTCGTGTCTTTGACCGTGCTGCATCTCGCAGCTTTGCTGGGTCACTCTGTGCTACTCCCACGTTAGCTGCAGGGCAAGGCTAATTCAAGCGGAGCTTTAATTTCTTCCTCCGTCTTTGGGATTAGAGAAAGATGATATTACAGGCCCCGTAACGCCGTCCCCTTTTGCCGGGGTGCAATAGGACCAGGCTTCAGAGAGACACGTAAGGAGGCGAGCTTCAGCCTCAGAGACTGCCCTGCTCCATCACGGCTTCAGGCACCTGTACGCTTTGTCTGCCGTAATGGGGTAAAGCTTATACTTTAAGCTTTATTCCAAAGTTTATTTTATTTTAGCGAACCAAAGGGTTAAATAATTGATTACATAGTTGGAAACAATTACAAAACAAAACCTAAAAATAAGGAACACGCACTTAATCATTTCTGAAGCTAATCTCTGCCCCGAGCTGTCATTTCGGATTTCTCTGAGATGTCTCTTAGCAGCTTTAGCTCAAGGCCGGCTTGGCAGAGGGCTGCCTCGACGGCTCGGTCACGGCAGACCCTTCCTGGGTGACTTTGGTACCCATTTCCCTGTAGCGTTAATGGGAAGCTGCTGTGTGCAAATCAGTCTTCAAAGCTGCTCCTGGACCATGACTTTTCCTTTCCTTCCCCAATTAATTGGGAAAACTTATAGTATTAGAAGCTCTGATTAGCGGTTTTTGGTTTGTTTTTTTTTTTTTTTTTTTGTGAGGAGGTTAATGAATCGCTGTTCTGAGTTGTCCAGGGCTGTGATGTGTAAAAGCGTTTTGATATGCTGATTTCTGGTGGCAGAGCGATATCCCAGAGCTGTGTCAAGCTGCTCTCACCGTGACTTCTTTCCTTGGCAGCACCACGTACATTATGAACCTTTTCAAGGCTCTGTGATAATGTGCAACTCGGTGTTGTGTAGATGAAGGGTTGTTTTAGCATTCTCGCAGTACGATATAGAACACAGAATCATAGAGTGGTTTGGGTTGGAAGGGACCTTAAAGATCATCCAGTTCCCCCCCCCTGCCCTGGGCAGGGACACCTCCCACCAGCCCAGGTTGCTCCAAGCCCCGTCCAACCTGGCCTTGAACCCCTCCAGGGATGGGGCAGCCACAGCTTCTCTGGGCAACACATTCCAGTGTCTCACCTCCCTCAGAGTGAAAAATTTCTTCCTAATATCTAATCTACATCTCCCCTCTTCCAGTTTGAAGCCATTTCCCCTTGTCCTGTGACTACAAGCCCTTGTAAAAAGTCCCTCTCCAACTTTCCTGGAGCCCCTTTAGGCACTGGAAGGGGCTCTAAGGTCTCCCCGGAGCCTTCTCTTCTCCAGGCTGAACACCCCAACTCTCTCAGGCTGTCCTCACAGCAGAGGTGCTTCGGCCCTCAGAGCATCTTTGTGGCCTCCTCTGGCCCCTCTCCAACAAGTCCATGTCCTTCTTACGTTGAGGGCCGCAGAGCTGGACACAATATGTACTGTTAAGACTTCCAGGGGCGGCACATGTGGTGTGTGGGTGGCATAGGGTGCCGGTCTGGCAGCTGAGTGGGTTCCTCTTGCCACCGGCGTTGTGGGTTTGGGCCATCCCTGGTGGAAATGGTGAAGGTTAGAGGAAAGCTGGGGCAGTCAGCCCAGGGGGGTTGGGGCAGGGCCCCATCGCTTTGCCTTAGCCCTGTGTAAGAGCAAAGTGAGCCGATTTTGTTAACGTTGTGCACGTGGTTTTGGACTTTGAGTGCCATCAGCACGAACAAGGTGGCGGGAAGGGGTGTTTGGAGGCCTCGGGGATGGGGGAAGAGCAGCTCCATCCTTCTTTAACAAGGCCTGGAGGGCCGTGATCAAATTAATTGTGGGAGGGTGAATTCTGGAAAGGTCTAGCTAAAAAAACCCCAACAATAAATAAAGAGGTGAGCAGGCTGCCGCAGAACGGCACGCTGCCAGGTGGGTCCATCATCCCATGGGCAATGGGGACCTTCGTAAATGCCCCAGCTCAGAGCCTGCCGGGGTGCACCCCTCTGCTTCATTCACAATGTCGCTTGGGAAATGTGCTGCCGCAGGAAAACTCCCATGGGGTCCTCCCGGTGGGAGATTTTTCCTTTGGCGCGTTCACAGCAGCCGAATTACTGAGCTGGGGGGCGGAGGGGGGGGCCTGCTGGTGCCTCCCTCCCTGTTTGCCTCCACTGTCTTGGCTTACCCACCACCCATGGCTTTAGAGATGGAGGGGGATCCTGGTTGGCTCCGCTTGCTTCTCAGCCCCTCTCTTGACGGAACTTGAACTGCTGAGGCAGAGGGCACGGGGGGAAAAATGGTGTATTTTTTTTTTTTTTTTTTTTTAATCCCACTGTGGTTGTCTAAGCCGCCTCGTCAATACGGCTTTTATAATTCCC